ACAAATAAATAAAGAATTGTACATGGATAACGAATAAGGAGATTATGAATGCAAGATAGAAATGTATAGAAGGGAAAACAACTTCAAAGAAACAGATTCGGAACTGCTGTATGATATACGATGGAACTTATTGTTCCTATGTTGTTTTTAGGTTATGTGTTTGTTTCTGTTGATGTGCTTATGTATTTAAAATAAAAATTAATACACACACACATACACACACACAAAAATTCCTTCCAGCTTCCAGTGTAGGAACCCACGCGGCCCAAAGGAGCCGAAAGGTTGAGGACAAGATTTCTTGGGAATGTACCTGAAGGAGGTTACAGAATAACAGGGTTGGAAGGGATCTTGGAGGTCTTCTAGCCTGACCCCATACTCAGGCAGGAGACCCTATAAGACAAATGGCAGTCCAACCTCTTTAGAGAAGACATACAGTGATGGAGCAGCCACAACTACTGGTGGCAAGTTGTTCACTACTGATTAATTGTCCTCACTGTTAGGAAGTTTCTCCTTAGTTCCAAGTAGCTTCTCTCCTTGATTAGTTTCCACCCGTTGCTTCTTGTCCTACCCTCAGGTGCTTTGGGGAATAGGTGGACCTTATGCTTAGCCCGATTTGGGATAACAGAGTTGGAAGGGACCTTGGAGGTCTTCTAGTCCAACCCCCTGCTCAAGCAGGAGACCTCATACCATTCGGGACAAATGACTGTCCATTCTCTTCTTCAAAGTCTCCAGTGTTGAAGCACCCACAATTTCAGGAGTTGTGGTGTTCCACTGGTTAATTGTTCCCACTGTCAAAAAAATTTCTCCTTGTTTCTACGTTGAATCTCTCCTTGTTCAGTTTCCATCCATTATTCCTTGTTCTGTCTTCTGGTGCTTTGGAGAAGAGCTTGACCCCCTTCCTCCTCCCTGGGGCAGCCCCTCAAATATTGGAAGACTGCTATCCCGTCTCCTTCTCTTCCCTAGACTAGCCAGGCCCAGTTCCTGCAACCGTTCTTCGTATGTTTTAGCCTCCAGTCCCCTCATCCTCTTTGTTGCTCTTCTCTGCACTCTTTCCAGAGTCTCCACATCCCCCTTGGGCTGTTCTTCTCCATAATTTGCCCAGGTGCAGCTGAGCTTGGCCTGAGCCCAAAAATGCCCTTCGAAAGCCGCTCCCAGGTCCTCCTGGCACTTGTCACGCACTTGGAAAATACTCTTCACCTGTCTTGTTTATTGAAGTGGCGATGATTGAGGCATGAAGTGGGTGGGGGGGAAGCAGCATTTGGCAACTGTTGGGAAACGAATTGCACAAGAGCATCTTCTGCTCTGGGTTGGATCTGAAGGTTTGGCGGGTGGAGTAAAAATAAGATGATGCCACTCATATGACGCCACCCGAGTGGCCTTGTTGCCCCCACTCCATTTTTTTTTGTGTGGTTGTAAGAAGGGGCAAGGCTTTGCCCCCGACTGAATCTGATGGCGCTTCATGATCTCGCTTCAACTTTCTTTCGCTTTGAACTGCAAGGATGGGTTTAAAATGACTTTATTTTAAAAGTCATATTTGAACCAAGCGTCACAAACAATCATCAGAAAGCCCCCACCACCACCCCAACCTATGTCCCTTGACCCCTGAACCTGGAGCAGATGGCCCCAAGCCCCCTTTGTCCTTTGGGGTCATTTCCAGGGGTTCTCGGAGCCCACTGTGGCCTCCTTCGCTGCCAGAGCTGCTCCCAGGAAAATTAAAATAGATTTTTCCGGCGCTCCGGCAAAGGTCTGGTTGCCAGGGCCTCTGGCTCCGGTTGCTATGTTTGCAGAATGACAAAACGCCACCACGCAGCCTTCGCCAGGTGCTTGAGACACAAAGGGGGCAGGCGATGGCCAGGGAAGGCGGGTGGGTGGGTTGGGGAGACCCTCCCCAGCTCTTCACTGCAGCTGGAAGTATTTCTCCGGAGTGTGTGGGAAGGCGCCACATCTAAAGGATGCCAAGGGATGAAGGGACTCACCCTTCAGGGGTGAAATGCTACCGGTTCGGGGTCGGTCCACCCAGACTGGTAGTAAAAAATGCTACTGGTTCACAGAACCAGTAGTAAAAAAAATACTACAAAGGGGAGAGGGGGGAGTTCCGACGATCGCACATCGTACAGTTGATCTTCAGAAGTTTTTAAAATTTGTACCTTTTTTTTTTGAAATATACTTTTTTATTTTCCATTTCCATAACATATAATCACATGTATACTATTACGTANATATACGATGGAACTTATCGTTCCTATGTTGTTTTAAGTTATGTGTCTGTTTCTGTTGATGTGTTTATGTCTATAAAATAAAATTTATATTCCCTAGAAGGGTGAGTTTGAGAACTTGATCTCCCATCAGATCAAGAGAGCTTTGTATACTTGGCCTGTTTTTGTCCGACACAAATGATTGTAGCATTTTTCAATGTATGATTCAGCTTTTTTTTTTAAAAAAAAAATCCTTTGGTCTCTTACTAACATTTGTCTCTTTCTTCTGCAGTGGGTACCACCTCAACAGCTCCCATTGGGACTTTAGGATTTGGCTCTAAAATGCCTGGAGTGACCACAGCAGCAGCCGCCGCCCTTCCCACAGCTGGTGAGAATCGGTCAGAAAAATGGCACGAAGGAAAGAGGTGTCCTTTTGTGCGCCGAGGCTCTTTAAAGGGAACTTTCTGGCAGGTTTGACCATCTGGCTTGCCCTCCTTCTGGGGCATGTCGAGTCTATGCCCACAACTTCCTTTTCTAAGGCAAGCCATCCAGTCTGTTTACAAAAAGAAACCAGGGTCAGGACGAAACCATCAGTAGGAGAAAAGGGCTGATGCCGCAGGGCAAAACCAGTCTTGGGCGGTGCTGAGTCCGGGAGCCGCAGAGCAGAGCCTTCCCTGCTCTTCTGCCCAGGGGACACGCAGGGGCCGGAGGCCCGGGTGAAGCAGGGTCAAGACTGGGAAACATCCCTGGGCCCACAATGGCTTTTAGGCTTGGTGGTGGGAATCAAAAGTTTTGCTGCCTCCAGGGGAATGCCCTGCTGTCGGTCACAGCTGAGCCCCCACTTCAGCAGCAGCTGCCCGCCAGAGTCTGATGCCAGGTCGCTTTCTCTCCAGGCACTGCTTCCATACCTGCTGCAGGATTCCTCTTGAACCTGAAGCCCCTCGCCACAACAAGCGTGGCTGCTTCCACCTCCACTGCAACCACCACCACTGGCATGTGAGTTGTGTGGAGAGAGCTCCGGTTGCGAGGGGATTTGAAAGGGCCCGGTGAAGATGCTGGGCAAGAGACAGCAGGTCCCTTGCAAATAAGACTGATGGGCCCCCCGGTTTTTTCCCGATCTCCTGTCCAGGACTCCCCCCGTGATGACATATGCCCAGCTGGAGAGCCTGATTAACAAATGGAGCCTGGAACTGGAGGACCAGGAGAAGCACTTCCTTCAGCAGGCCACCCAGGTCAACGCCTGGGACAGGACGTTGATTGAAAACGGAGAAAAGGTAGAAGGGGGGGGGGGGCTGCCTGGTTCTGGTGTCCGGCAAGGCAGGTTGTGTCAAGGAAAGAAGAAGCAACTGCATTTCTCTCTCACGCAGATCACAACCTTACACAGAGAAGTAGAGAAAGTGAAGCTGGATCAAAAGAGGTAAGGGATTGGGCCAGTGGTGGGTTTCAAAAATTGTTCGAACCTACTCTGTGGGTGTGGCCTCCTTTGTGGGAGTGGCTTG